GGCTTTTTTCTTTTTGCTTATGTGGTGCTGAGGAATCGAATCTAGGGCCTCATGCATTCAAGGCAAGCGCTCTACCACTGAGCCACCTTCCCAGCCCCCTCAGTGGATGTTTCTTTTGTGGAACTCTAAAGTTCTAGAACCTGGGCCTTGGTATGTTTGAATCCTGGTGTCCTTTGCCATTTGCCATTGCCACAGAACCTGGAAGAATTTGAGAATAGCTAAAACTACCCAGTAAATAGTGAGGGTGCATGCCCTGGTGGTATGTAAGTGGATTTGGACATGTTGCCAACAGAAGATAGGAGAATCAGTCCTAGGTGGGAAAAATGAACTAAGTCAGTGGCGGCAGCATCTGGGGTAGCCACTGAGTCAAAATGCATTTTTAACCAGCCCCCTCCAAGTTTTGTAGGTCCACCAAATCTTCTGACCATAAAAATAAACAACTATAGGATTCTTTCCATTGCAGAATCCTTAGAGTTTATAAAACATAAACTAAAATCTAGGTGTAGTGGTACATGCCTATAATCCCAGCTACTCAGGAGGCAGAGATAGAAGGGTCACCATTTGAAGCCAACCAAGGCAAAGTGTGAGATCCTATCTAAAATAGAAACCAGAGCAAAAAGGGTTAGGTGTGTGGCTCGAGTGGTAGAGTATTGAGGCCAGCCCTGAGTTCCTACCCCAGTACTACCAAAACAAACAAAACCCAGCCATTAGATTTGCTTTGTTTGGTGCTGGAGTGTTATTCTGAGCTAACATTTAAAAATAAATGCTAAATCTGTATCTTTAAAAATGTATATACTCATCCCTCAGTATCCATAGAGGACTGGTTCCAGTATTCCCAAGGATACCCTTGGATGCCCAACTCCTTTATATGAAATAGTATTTGCATAAAAGCTATGCACTTCCTCTTACTTTCTTTAAGTCATCTCTAAATTATTTAGAATACTTAGTACTATGTAAATGCTGTGTAAATATTTGCTATACTATATTATTTAGGAAATGAGGACAAGAAAAAAAGTTCGTACGTTTTCAGTACAGAGGTAACTCTCATAGATCTCACTACATAGTACACACGTGATCAAGGATTAGCTGGATCCTAGAAGGTAGAACCCAGGGATAAGAAGGGAAAAGCATGCTGACTAAACCAGGATCACGTGGAGCTTGTATCTCCCCTTACCAATAGTCTGTTGGAGTGAGACAATCGTTTGATTTATGCTTTGTGTCAGTACTGGGGCTTGAACTCAGGGCAATGGGCACTGTCCCATAGCTCTTTGGATCAAAGCTGGTGCTCTACCACTTGAGCCAACTTCCAGCCATTTGTTGGTTAATTGGAGATCAAATTCTCATGGGCTTTTGTGCCCAGGCTGACTTCAAACATCAGTCCTCAGATCTCAGCCTCCTGATTATAGGCATGAGCCACTGCTGCCATGTTCCATCCATCACTTCAATCCAGGTCTTCACACGTACTTCCTGAAAATCCCTGTCTGCTGCCTGTAGATACTGCGAGTAAGACTACTGGAGCCACAGATATTAAAATAGTATAGGCACTCCTACAAGTTGCTTTGCTTTTTGTTTTTATTTTCTGATTGATTAGTTGGTTTCCTTTGCTTCCTAAATAGTAAAGAAACAATTTATAAGAAATAGCAGGAAGTGGCGCTATGGCTCAAGCGACAGAGCACTCGCCTTGGGATGCAGAGCGGAGGGACAGCGCCCAGGCCCAGAGTTCAAGCCCCACGACTGACCAAAAAAAAAAAAAAAAAGCAAATGCAGTCCTTATACATTCTGGTTACCTAAGGTGGTGCTGTTGTAGTGAGTAATTTAGTACAATTTAAATTTTTTTCAACTGCATTTGAAGATGAATTCAAGTTGAGAACAAAACAAAATAAGAAAAAACCTAATGTGCACATATAACGAAACATTATTTACATTGTTAAATAGCTCCTGTAAGATTTTTCTCTGTACTTAGGTCCCAGGATTGAAGGGCAGATTTCAGGCTGCTGGCCTTGAATCCTGGATGTAACTCAAACCCTACTCTTCCCTTCCTCCCCACTCCCTTCTCTCCTACTTCTCCCATCTACCAAAAGATTGGTTATTGCTGTGTGATTCAGGGGGCCCGCAGGGAAGAGTCCTCCAGGGTTAGATATTAAAGGACTAGCTTGGGCAGGCTGGGGCAGAGCACCCCAGAAAAAGAGGATAAGCAAAGGCCCAAATCACCTTGCAATAGAGACAGAATGGGCAAGGCTCAGCAAGTCCCTCAGATGTTTAAATCAACCTCATTTTCAAACCAGCTGCCGAGATCTAAAATGATTAAATGAGCTGGGGGTGAAGGGCGAGGGACCCACCTTCCCCCACCCAGAACTCACAAAGCTAGTTGAAGAAGAGAAGGAATGATGGAGCCTCATGGTTCAATTCTTTCATCTCCTCCTTTCTCTGTCCCTGACCCTTCTCTCCCCCTGTTGCTGTCCCCAGAGCCTCCTTTTTGCCCCCCCAGTCCTCCCTGCCTTTCTCTGCAGTTTTCCCCATTTCTGGGGAATTCTTTTGGGGCCCAGACCATCACTCTTAGAGCCCCAACTCAGGTCCTCTCAGGACTCATTATTCCCCAGACCCTGGAAACTCGCAGCCCGTGAGAGCACCTAGCATGCTTACTGGTCCTCCCCACCTTCAGATGTGTTTACACTACTGGGCCAGATGGCCTGTGCCAAGAGCCCACACTTGGGGCTGCCCTCACTTTTGGAACAGCTCTGTAGCTGGGGCCAGCTATGGCCAAAGTAAGGACCTTTCATAGCTGCTGCTTTGATGTCCTGTGGCCCATCTGGCACCTTTTCTTTGTGTTGCTTCTCCTGCCCATCTGTGGTAGGCCCCAGCTACCCTCTTTTTGTGGCTGTGAGGACACTGCATTGTAGGGCAGTGTTCACTGGGGTCTTCTGCTTCTTGCACTGAGGACTCCCAGGCTATGTGTTATGTGTGGTGTTTGTTTGTGTCCTGAGTTGGTGGGGCCTGAAATAAAGGTGTGCTTTCTTCCAGTTTGTGGTATGTGATCCTTTTTGACCCCCCACCTGCTCAAATCTAGCATTGCCAGAAAAGGTTTCAGATAGGGGTGAACCCTAGAGATGACTTGGGGGAGATGAACAGGGGCTAAAGGCCCCAGGGGTGCCTCTACTGGGGGGGGAACTAGTTCTGAGGGACTAGGCAGAGAGAAGTCTCAGGCCTCTCAAGCTTGTGGAAAAGATGAAGTCTTTGAAGTACTAGAAGTGGATGACGTAGCAAGGTACCCATGGCTCATACCTGCAATCCTAGCTACTCAGGAGGCTGAGATCTGAGGATTGTAATTCAAAGCCAGCCTGGGCAGAAAGGTTCCCATGAGA